ACCAGGTTCGTGGATTACCTAGCAACGACTACAAGCAGCGAAGTGAGTCAAAGGCGCATCGACCTCATCATCCCCTACCAGAGTTGGGCAAACCTTGTTATAGTAGACAATCGAAAAATCATTGTGCTAAACCCCAAAGAACTAATGCACCAGAGCAACAACCATCATCGATGAAGAGAGTCCTAAATAGAAATGATCAAATATGTAAACACCCAAACAAAAATGAACAAAGATAAGATCCAAACAGAACCACCGCAGACCAGCGCCGACCGAATCCTAGAAGATTCGACGCACCTCTACATGTCTTCCAATGATGGTAGATGCACCCTCGGGACTGGGATCAAATGTGTGAGACATTATTCCTACCTAGGGACATTGCCGTCGCCACACAACCCTAACCAAGATGATGAACCTAACAAAATCGAGAACAAGGTCCCTCCCACCATATCTAGTTGATCTCAAAAGAATCACCACAAAGCGATCTAAATAATAGAGTACAACTGACACCGCCAAAGAAAGATGCGACAAACTGTTGGGGAACGTTGCAGAAAATAAAAATTTTCCTACGGTTTCACCAAGATCCATCTATGAGTTCATCTAGCAACGAGTGATAGTAGTGCATCTACATACCTTTGTAGATCGCGAGCGGAAGCGTTCAAGAGATCGGGGTTGAGGTAGTCGTACTCGTCGTGATCCAAATTACCGATGACCAAATGCCGAACGGACAGCACCTCCGCGTTCAACACACGTACGGAGCGGATGCCGTCTCCTCCTTCTTGATCCAGCAAGGGGGAAGGAGAGGTTGATGAAGATCCAGCAGCACGACGGCGTGGTGGTGGATGCAGCAGGGTTCCGGCAGAGCTTCGCCGAGCTTCTGCGAGAGGGAGAGGTGTAGCAGGGGAGAGGGAGGCGCCAAGACTTCAGGGTGCGGCTGCCCTCCCTCCCCTCTCCTTTATATAGGGCCCCAGGGGGGCGCCGGCCCTGGAGATGAGATCTCCCAAGGGGGGTGGCGGCCAGGGGGGTGGAGTGCCCCCCAAGGCAAGTGGAGGCGTCCCCCACCCTAGGGTTTCCAACCCTAGGCGCAGGGGGGGCCCAAGGGGGGGCGCACCAGCCCACTAGGGGCTGGTTCCCCTCCCACTTCAGCCCACGGGGCCCTCCGGGATAGGTGGCCCCACCAGGTGGACCCCCGGGACCCTTCCGGTGGTCCCGGTACAATACCGGTGACCCCCGAAACTCTCCCGATGGCCAAAACTGCACTTCCTATATATAATTCTTTACCTCCGGACTATTCCGGAACTCCTCGTGACGTCCGGGATCTCATCCGGAACTCCGAACAACTTTCGGTTTGCTGCATACTCATATTCATACAACCCTAGCGTCACTGAACCTTAAGTGTGTAGACCCTACGGGTTCGGGAGACATGTAGACATGACCGAGACGGCTCTCCGGTCAATAACCAACAGCGGGATCTGGATATCCATGTTGGCTCCCACATGCTCCTCGATGATCTCATCGGATGAACCACGATGTCGAGGATTTAAGCAATCCCGTATACAATTCCCTTTGTCAATCGGTATGTTACTTGCCCGAGATTCGATCGTCGGTATCCCAATACCTCGTTCAATCTCGTTACCGGCAAGTCACTTTACTCGTACCGTAATGCATGATCCAGTGACCAGACACTTGGTCACTTTGAGCTCATTATGATGATGCACTACCGAGTGGGCCCAGTGATACCTCTCCGTCATACGGAGTGACAAATCCCAGTCTTGATCCGTGTCAACCCAACAGACACTTTCGGAGATACCTGTAGTGCACCTTTATAGTCACCCGGTTACGTTGTGACGTTTGGTACACCCAAAGCACTCCTACGGTATCCGGGAGTTACACAATCTCATGGTCTAAGGAAAAGATACTTGACATTGGAAAAGCTCTAGCGAATGAACTATACGATCTTTGTGCTATGCTTAGGATTGGGTCTTGTCCATCACATCATTCTCCTAATGATGTGATCCCGTTATCAATGACATCTAATGTCCATAGTCAGGAAACCATGACTATCTGTTGATTAACGAGCTAGTCAACTAGAGGCTCACTAGGGACATGTTGTGGTCTAAGTATTCACACGTGTATTACGATTTCCGGATAATACAATTATAGCATGAATAAAAGACAATTATCATGAACAAGGAAATATAATAATAATCATTTTATTATTGCCTCTAGGGCATATTTCCAACACAAACCACCTCTGATTTCATCAAGTCTCCCTTTCTTTAGTGGATGGGTTGGCCCATGCGAATGAGTTGATGCATTATCTCCCTTCAACCATTTAAGTGAAATGTAGCAAAAGGAGGGAAAATCGATTGAAGGCCAATTATTCTCAAAAAAATCAAAAAAAATAAATCAATTGCCAATTGGGATGGTCTGCCGCATTATTCAAGGCCATTCTCATCAGCTCAGCTTACTCTTCTCCAACAGACCAGTTGCGACTTACAATGCAACTGCAAAAACATACAACCACAAAAAGATCCTCACCCCAACCATTTCCTACAAAATTGCAGAGCCATCTCTCTGTCATGATCAGCAACTTGCTTAACATTGCATCTCAGATCATTTTATTTATGAACAGAATCCCACATCATTATTGAAATCAAACATGCTTGGATACTCATGTCGCAGCAGGGCAGTTGATCATCAACCACACCAAGCATGCATCCTCCCAGAAATCAGAAATCAGCCTGTCTTCCATATGCAACTACCGTATGTACGTAGCTCCGTCCAACAGATATAACGGCTTTGACTTTGATCGGATCTGCTGCCCAGCAAAACAGAATATAAGTAGTAGGAGTAGCTTTTCCTGATCACATGCATGACAGATTCCGTTAAGAATCTTTTAACTTCTCCTAACGATCACATCACATGCCATCTCCCCTGCCTGTCCCCAATCTCCACCACCACTTGCACAACAAAACTAACATTAAATCTTACTACTACAAGATTGTGATTTTTTTTAGCATTGGTCTTAAGCAATCTATACATGGCCATATGGTAGGTGTGATGATTGTTTTTTCATACTCAACCTATCTGCAACATGTAACCTTGCTCCATGCCACACACACATACACAGCTAGGCACACCTCATGCGTATCCTGATAATTAACCTGGCCCCGTTGACCTGTCTGTCTGGTGATAATTTCTTGGTCTTCCATGGAGGAACACCCACACATGCAAGAGGAAGAAACCCATACCATGCCACCACCTCCTCCTCCCCTCTTTGCTGTCAATCTCACTCATTCATCAGACCACTCATGAACCATCATGACCACACCATCTCAAGTTGAAAAACTCATACCACAAAATTCGCAAAAAAAAAAAAACTCGTACCACACAACACACATGAATCATCATGATGATCTCTTGCCGTCCATGTCACCGGGGAGAGGATCAGACTGCCCATGAATCATCATGATCGTCTCAAGTTGATCGATCCCAAGAGAATCATGGACGCATCGCAAGACGATCAAGAGGATAAACTAAAATAGATCACTCCGAGAAGGATGCAGGAAGCATCGCAATGAAGTGGACAGGGATAGAACAGGGGTGCAGGGGGGAGCCCTCCTGTTCAGTGTTCACTGATTGCGGGCTTGAAAACCCAGCATCCTGACCTGTCACGAACCCACTGCCCATCCACGAAACCATTTCGTCAAGTGGCAACGGCATGCATCCAAAACCCCTCCATGCCCACCAAGAACATGGAGTCAAAACCGCGCTCATGGTCGATCGCACAGTGCGTCGATCGCACGCACACCGACAGCGAGAAGAGGAGAGATCGATTGAAGAGGATGTAGCATGAGCATGAATGATCAATATTCAGAGTATAAAGCGATCTCAGTGCTAATTAACTGTTGGTATTTTATAATCTCGTGTAGGCCACAACACATCTCAGTCAGTACTCTGTATTGAAAATGGTCCTAGAGAATCAAAATAGAGTAAACGGTGAAGGAATAAAAGGCAAACAGTAGGTATGTACCATGTCTGTGTGGCTGCTGAGGGATGAACAGGTGTACTACTAATTAACTACACTGAATTGGAATGTCTGTACTCATGACTATGACTGAATTAGAATGTATGTACACATCACGTACTAATTAGCAAACAGTAGTATCTATTTATACGTGTGTGTGGATTCTGATTCAGAATGTAGACCGGATTTACAAGGATGTTCGTGCCATAAAGGTGCACCCTGCCTGCCTACATGGACAGGCGTACCATTTAACTGTTGGTATTTATTTATGGCCTCCTGTAGATCACAGCGCATTTCTGTTAAAACGTCCTGGAGAATCAACACGGCAGGTGCATCCGGTCAAGGAATAAAAGGCGAATAGTATATGTGCATGTCTGTGTGGATGCTGGGTGATAGAACATGGCACCAATGCATCCCCTAAACATTTCTGCTGCTGAGAATCAAATTAAGGCGACGCATCATGGGCTGCCCGCCGCAATTAGGCAGGCGCGCGGCGAGCGATCAATTTCGGTTGAGCTGTTGATCGGTGCTGGTAATCGGGCGTGCACGTGACGGGTGATGAATGGGTTAAAGCGATTGCATCATGGGCCTTGATGCAACACAATTATGTGAGGCATTAGGCCATGGATCAATTCCATTGCTGCTGCTGGTGCTAGAGAGAGAGAGAGAGAGAGAGAGCATTCATAATCATGCATGCACTTGCCAGGTCTCTTTAGCTAGCGGTCGAGTTACCAGGACCATGCACGTCTGTCCTGTGTCCGTCTACTGCTCCACGACAGGACAACCACACCGGGATAGGTAGGAGAGGCCACCCAGAGGATGCGCTAGTGGCAACAATGGCGCCCACTATGGCACTATATATACCCCTGCACCCTCCAATTCCTCTCAACACAACCACAAGCAGTTAGTAATCTGCATTCTTTCTCTGTACGTAGATCACTGACAAGTTGTACAGAGAAAGTGAGGAGGAGAGATGGGGAGGGATCAGCAGGCGGGCGCGGCGGCGGCGCACCGGGAGAAGGTGAAGTTGTTCATGGGCGTGCTGGCGCTGCAGTTCCTGCTCGCCGGCTTCCACATCGTCAGCCGCGCCGCGCTCAACATGGGCATCAGCAAGCTCGTCTTCATCGTCTACCGCAACGTCATCTCCCTCGCCCTCCTCGCCCCCTTCGCCTACTTCCTCGAGAAGTACGTCGCCGCCTCCATTCTTCTTCTCTGCTTCATCTTCCAGCAGTTTCAAGAAAGCTTCTGCCAGTCAGTCAGAAAACAATGGCGGTGTACAGTTTTTTGAATCCTGGCGTGTCTGTTCTTTTTTCCATCATTCAGGAAGGACCGGCCGCCGCTCACCTTCTCGCTGCTGGCGGAGTTCTTCGTGCTGGCGCTCATCGGGATCACGGCGAACCAGGGGTTCTACCTGCTGGGGCTGTACCACCTGTCGCCGACCTACGCCTCCGCGATCCAGAACATGGTGCCGGCCATCACCTTCGTGCTGGCCGCGGTCCTCCGGCTGGAGCAGGTGGACCTGGGCCGGCGGCATGGGGTGGCCAAGGTGGTGGGCACGGTGGTGAGCATCGGCGGCGCCACGGTGATCACGCTCTACAAGGGCCTGCCGCTCTTCAGCCACAACCTGCACGTGCAGGCCGTGCTCTCCTGGACCTCCGGCAGCCCCATCTTCAACTGGACCCTCGGCTGCGTCTTCATCCTCGGCCACTGCCTCTCCTGGTCGGGATGGATGGTGCTCCAGGTGCCCGTGCTCAAGCGGTACCCGGCGAGGCTGTCGGTCATCTCGCTCACCTGCGTCTTCGGGCTGCTCCAGTTCCTCGTCATCGCCGCCTTCACCGAGGAGGACATGAGCCGGTGGAAGGTGCAGTCCGTCGGGGAGCTCTTCACCATCCTCTACGCCGGGCTGGTGGCCTCCGGCGTGGCGTTCGCCCTGCAGATCTGGTGCATCGACCGCGGCGGCCCGCTCTTCACCGCCGTGTTCCAGCCCGTGCAGACCGTCGCCGTCGCCGTCATGGCCGCCATCATCCTCGGAGACCAGCTCTACACCGGAGGGTAAGTAGAGAGTAAAATCCACATACACCAACATTGTGACAGCACCATTGCACTCTTGTCTGACTGACATGATTCATGGCTGCTTGTGCGCAGGATCATCGGCGCGGTGCTGATCGTCATCGGGCTCTACTTCGTGCTGTGGGGCAAGAGCGAGGAGAAGAAGACGAGGAGCCAAGATCCCGAGATGGCGAGGCACCTGCTGGGGGAAGACGGCGGCGAGGCTGACAAAGATCAGCAAGTGAGCACCGCTGTGCTGGCGTGAAAGCTGCTAGCTGCTGGATATCCCTTGGAGATGTGTGTACTGATGTGGGTGTTTGAACGTACTCCTACCTTTTTAACTACTAGTGTTTCAAGCGTGCGATGCGACCAGGAAGAAGAAGACCCGTACTAGTTGACGATGTGAACTGCTAAACACACTCAGACATATTTGGTACCTACTGTGTATAGCCCCTTGTCTTCGAGTTGTGTGTGTCTATAAATACACTATGCTCCCTAATTTTGAAGCTCTCCCAGTCTAGTTATGGTGTTCAATTTTAGAATTTTGGATTATGATTTTTACTGGGTCAACGATTTTGATTGAGGTTATTTTAAATTTGGTTTATAATTTTTCTTCAGTTAGGTGGGGGAGGGGGTTATATAATCCGACTGTTGAAACTTTTTTTAAATAGTTTAAATTGCTTACCACATGTGTCATGTGGTATCCGACTGTTGGCACTTAGTCTTCGTTTGAAATATCCATTGCATGATGGCCTCTCTGGTTGTAACCTTGATGGGCCTGGGCCTTTGACTGGGCCATATGGGCCTACCCCGTAGGTATTCTCCCTTCTAGTTTTAATCGTGGCACGTTGCCGCTGTATGTGAAAGAAAGATGGCGTTGCTTTCAAGGACTTGCGTGCAATTTATTATTCATGTAAATGAGTTCTTGTAAGGGCTGGTTTCTGTTCCGCAACTCCTGCCGGCGAGTCCGGTCCAAGGTTGCGGAGCGGGAGCGAGCGTCGTAGACGAAGTAGTCGAACACGCGAAAGTAAATGACACAGAGAGATATGGAGGAGACCATCTTTATTAATCAATGATCAGGGGTTACAATGATGGCTCCTCGGTGCTTTATATAGGGAAAAGGGGGGTCAAGGGATAAGTACCCACTTAACGATACGAGGGGAACGGGAGGGGCTAGCCCGTGCGTTTAGCACGCGGCCGCCGCCACCCTCTGGATGACCCGGTTTCCCAACACTCCCCCTTGGGTAATTATCCGTATATCCATGCCTCAAAACTCCGAAAAACTCGGTGGGAAAAAAATATGGAGAAAGAGCACATAGTATACGTTGTTGTATTGCACGAATTGCCTCGTCAAAAACCTCGTGTAAGAAACATCAGGAAAACTCACTCAAGGGAAAAAGAGTACAATCCACTCAACCATCAAGTTGAGTACTCGATCATCGGGATTGAGATTTTAGCGACGAGTTTGTGAAGTTTCTCCCCCTGAACCTTGCATCTCTCTAAGTCTCATCATACCGATTCCACGCACACACCTCTCTAAGGTTGATGCCGATAATGATTTAGTGAACATATCAGCAAGATTGTCACAAGACTTAGTATGCAAAACTTTCACCTCATTCAACTCCTGCAGCTCATGTGCATAGAAGAACTTGGGACTAATATGCTTAGTGAGGTTACTCTTCACATAACCCATCTGGACTTGTGCAACACAAGCAGCATTATCTTCATAGATAATGGTAGGGGTTTGTACGGTGCTCAGCCCACATGTCTGCTGAATGTGGCCGATCATCCGCCGAAGCGATACACACTCTTTTGACGCTTCGAATAGTGCCATGATTTCCGAGTGGTTCGTGGAAGTCGACACAAGTGTTTGCTTGGACGATTTCCAGGAAAACGCAGTTCCACCACAAAGGAAAACATATCCAGTCTGCGATTTGCAATCATGCGGGTCCGATAGGTACCCAGCATCGGCATAGCCTACAATAGATAGGCCTTGGTTCCTTTTATAAAACAGGCCAAGATCTTTGGTCCCTTGCAGGTAACGGAAGACGTCCTTGACACCTTTCCAATGTCTTTTGGTAGGTTCAGAACTGTACCTCGCAAGCAAACTGACGGCGAACGCAATGTCTGGCCGTGTACAGTTTGCGAGATACATGAGTGCTCCAACTGCACTCAGGTAAGGAAAATTCTGGTCCCAGAGTTTCCTCCCCCTCTTCCTTTGGCCTGAACGGGTCCTTGTCTGGCTGTAAAGACCTCCCGACCATCGGGGTCTTAGAAGGATATGCCTTACCAAATCATTATCTTTCCAACACCTTCTGGGTGTAGGCCGACTGGTACACTAGAATCCCATCAGAGGAATGTTCAAGTTGCAGACCTAGACAGAACTTGGTTTTACCCAAATCCTTCATCTCGAATTCCGACATCAGATAGGAATTCGCTTCCTCAATATCCTCAGGTGTACCGATTATGTTTAAATCGTCCACGTACACCGAGATTATACAGAATCCATCTTGGGATCGCCGTATGAAAACACATGGGCAATCTTTATTGCTCGTGTAGCCCTTCTCATGAAGGAAATCGCTTAAGCGATTGTACCACATTCTACCAGACTGTCTGAGTCCGTATAGTGCCTTTTGAAGTTGAACACTGTATAGACCCCTGTTTGCTCTATCATGGTTCGGAACAGGGATACCTTCTGGAACCTTTATGTATATGTTCGAATCCAAGTTACCATACAGGTAAGCAGTGACAATATCCATTAGTTTCATTTTCAAGCCCATGTTTACTGCCATCGAGATCAAGTATCTAAAGGTAACTCCATCCATGACCGGGGAATAAGTCTCCTCAAAATCGACACCTGGTCATTGAGTGAACCCTTGAGCGACGAGCCTTGCTTTGTACTGTACTACCTTATTATTTTCATCTCTCTTTCGAACAAAAACCCACCTATGGCCAACAGGGCGAATGTGGGGAGGAGTTCGACAAACTGGTCCGAACACCTTCCTTTTGTTGAGAGATAATAATTCGGTAGTAATCGCCTGCTGCCAATCTTTCCAATCCGACCTTTTCTTGCAATCAGCGAGCGTGTTAGGCTCAGGGTCAAGATCTATGATTGAGGCAATTTTCATAGCAAAGTTGATGTCGACAATCACTGTTGCTTGGTTCAGGGACTCCCCCATATAAATATAATTTATGGCCACTTCGTCATGGAGCGCATCTGGCGTAAACACTTGCTCTACCAAATTTCCCATTATGGGAGCAAGGTCCTTTAGATTTCCCGCGCCGATGTGTGCGCTCACATCTCCGCTGGGTGTTTCCCCTATGGGAAAGTTTAAGTCCGGAATTTCGTGCACTGAATTTTCCGTACTTGTGCCAGGTCTCGACTGGCTCCCTGTTTCAATTTGGGGTACTTTGGCGACAGGCTGCGATAAATCTCTCTTATCCTTTTTCGTCAGGCGTCCCTGAGTACTTGGGATTTGAGAAGCCGGATTTCTCGTCCTTTTAGGCCTTTGGACGGGAGCGGGTATACCATCATTTTTCTTCGGTATTTCAACCCTTTCTGGTGCATTGCGCGCGTGCACATGCGATTTTGTCACAGTCTTTAAGTCACTAAAGTGGTCAGGCAGTTGATTTGCTAAAGACTGCAAATCTATTACCTTTTGGACTTCTCTCTCAGTCTCAGTAGTGCGCGGGTCACGAGCGTGGATCCCCGTGGCTTGCCACGTGATTTCTCGACTTTTAGCATCAAGGGGTTGATTCTCTCCCCCTAAAGTCGGGAAAAGATCCTCGTCAAAAATGCAATCAGCAAAACGAGCCGTGTGACAGTCACCTGTCATGGGGTCCAGATACCTGATTATGGACACAGTCTCATAACCAACGTATATCCCCGACTTACGAAGCGGGCCCATCGCCGATCGCTGGGGGTGGTATTGGTACATATACCTGGCAACCGAACCTACGAAGGTGGGAAATTTTCGGTGCCGACCCCTGCGCAAGTTGAACAGGAGAGTGGATGTTGTAGGCTGACGATCGAAAGTTGATGAGATTAGCCGCGTGTAACACTGCGTGGCCCCAACATGTAGTTGGTAAATTACAACCCTGAAGGAGTGGTCGGACAATGAATTTAATTCTTTTAATCAATGCCTCGGCAAGTCCATTTTGTGTATGAACATGTGGTACCGAGTGCTCAACTTTGATTCCCATTGCCATGCAATAAGCATCGAACGCCTTTGAAGTAAATTCTCCGGCGTTGTCCATTCGAATAGACTTTATACGATAATCCGGAAAATTATTCCTCATTTGTATGATCTGTGAGATCAATTTTGCAAAGGCATGGTTCCGTGTTGACAGCAGGCAAACATTGGACCATTTAGAGGAAGCATCAATTGTTGGGGAACACAGTAATTTCAAAAAAATTCTACGTACACGCAAGAACATGGTGATGACATAGCAACAAGAGGGGAGAGTGTTGTCCACGTACCCTCGTAGACCGTAAGCGGAAGCGTTATGACAACACGGTTGATGTAGTCGTACGTCTTCACGATCCGACCGATCCAAGCACCGAACGTACGACACCTCCGAGTTCAGCACACGTTCAGCTCGATGACGATCCCCGGGCTTCGATCCAGCAAAGCTTCGGGGATGAGTTCCGTCAATACGACGGCGTGGTCACGATGATGATGCCAAAGTACTTTCATGATCTCTATCGTCACCGGCACGACACCATGATCTTCATCATCTTGATCTATATCAATGTGTTGTCACATGGTCGTCGTGCCAACTATTGCTCTTGCAATTATTGCTATCACATAGCGATAAAGTAAAGCAATTATTTGGCACTTGCATCTTATGCAACAAAGAGACAACCATAGAGCTTCTGCCAGTTGTCGATAACTTCAACAAAACTTGATCATCTCATACAACAACTTATATCTCATCACGTCTTGACCATATCACATCACAACATGCCCTGCAAAAACAAGTTAGACGTCCTCTACTTTGTTGTTGCAAGTTTTACGTGGCTGCTACGGGCTTTAGCAAGAACCGTTCTTACCTACGCATCAAAAAACCACAACGATAGTTTGTCAAGTTGGTGCTGTTTTAACCTTCGCAAGGACCGGGCGTAGCCACACTCGGTTCAACTAAAGTGAGAGAGACAGACACCCGCCAGCCACCTTTAAGCACAAGTGCTCGTAACGGAACCAGTCTCGCGTAAGCGTATGCGTAATGTCGGTCCAGGCCGCTTCATCTCACAATACCGCCGAACCAAAGTATGACATGCTGGTAAGCAGTATGACTTGTATCGCCCACAACTCACTTGTGTTCTACTCGTGCATATAACATCAACGCATAAAACCTAGGCTCGGATGCCACTGTTGGGGAACGCAGTAATTT